AATTTTGTTCCAGTAAGTTGCTAACTCAGGTGCCAGGGAAGCTAGAAAGCTGAAATTTTAAAGGGAATGCTTTCTGACAGTTCTGATGGCCAGTCTTAATTTTTTTTAGCTAGAAGCATTTGCCGAAACCGGTGCCGGTAGCAACAAAAACTGCGGGGAACCATGCAAAAAACGCATCTTCGCACGGGCAGCTCGTACAAAAACTGCGGGGAACCATGCAAAAAATGCATCTTCGCACGGGCAGCCCGTGCGTTGGCCAATTATTTATAACTGTTTCAACCAAAATTTCGGGACGATAAGTGCATATGACGATGAGTGTGGCCAATTTCGCTGCCATTTCTGGTCAAAGAAAAAAACTTTTTCTGACTCTGGCCCCTAATTTTGTTAAGACGTGTAATAAATAAATGTTGATATTTTGGCACAATCTTAATTTTGCACCATGTTTTGTTGCACTGCAGATGAATTTCTCTGAAAATTCATTGCGCTTTTACCAAGTACACCTTTTACTTTTTTTCTTTTTTATTGAACTTATAATATTCTACGAATTTCTGTAATTTCTTTCTATACAAGAGAAAGAAATTTTTTTAGTGGACATTCCTACAAATAACTATTTATTTTAAATTCCGGGAAATTCTAGCATTTATTTAAAAAATACTTGAAAAATATTTTTTTCATCAGTGAACAAAACAATAATTACAAAATACAGCAACAAAAATGCTGCATTTTGAGGATAAATCGTCTCTTTGTCTTACCAAATTTTCCCAGGATCATCATCAGCACGGTATTTTCCGAATCCTTAAATTAAGTTGCTGATGTGAGACTACTTTGGAAAAGAAATGGGAGCCGTGAAAAGAAAGTTTCTCCATTTCTCCATTCGCTTTAAGGACCTGAACTGCCTATTTCTAGCTAGCGCCTAATATATTGTACAGACCCCATTATTCTACTGTTCATACTCCAAGTTATGACTTTAATCCATATCTAATTGAGAGCCACTAACATTCAAGATTTCAGCAAAGCATAGCTTATTCCTCATGTAAGCTGAATTTTCGTGTCTGACTATCATATATGGCAAATAAAAAAGCAAGGGAGAAGTTTCATAGGTTGTAGCGCCCCATCTATACTGCCACTCAACAGCTAACTGATATTGACACTGACATGCCTCACCGCTTACACCGGGCTCTCCACCCGGCC